TGTAGTCAGCACGTAACTTTGCATGCTCCTCATGTGAAGGAAGGAAACTTGCATTAGGCAGGTCCAAGATTGGTCGGATAGGCTGGTTATCATCCAAATTCCAGTTGCTAACCCTGTTGTCGTAGCAGAGCACATTAAACCAATGAATAGACTCTGTGTCCCTGTTTGCTGAATAAATAGATGGTCTCCTCTGCCAATCAAGGTTGTCCCCATTTAATCCATAATCAACAAGAGACTCAACACCGCAGCTGTTTGGAGAAATCTGGTCATCCAATACTGTATCTTCATCCTCTGTCGAATCAGATTCTGATGATATTGATGAATTGTCACTGCAGCTGTCAGTGTCGATTTTTGATGATGCACTGCCAGGGTCTAATAATTATAATTTGAAAAAAAAAATATATATATATATATAGAGTGGTTTTCGTTTGAGTGTCGTAAAACCAAAACCAAAGTAATTACTCTGGCCAATCACATAGGACACAGACAATACATTGAACCAATCAAAACTCGAAGTAATTACATGTGGCTGACGCAATGCGCGGGAAAATGCATGCGAGCGCGTCACAATTGGCTTTGGTTTTACTTCTGATTGGATGAAAAGGTGGCGCGAATCTTTTAAGCCAATCGCATCGTGTAGAAAGTGCAAAACCAATTACTTTTCGACACTCAAATGAAAACCGCTCTATCTGACTGAATTTATGTAAACATGGCTTCAGTGAGTCACTACAGGTCCTATGCTAAGTGTGTCCTTGGTACCAAGACTTTGATATACCACCCAGGACACTGGGTGACTGTCTGCCACCCCCACTGAGCTCTGCAATAATCATCATGATAATCATTCTCAGCAGAGGCCTAATTCAGCTGGCTAGGGCAAAGTAAGAACAAGGTTGTTGCCAGTCAAAGCCTCTCGTGAACACTGTTGCTTACTGAAGGGGATGTGTCAAAAACAGCCCCCTCCCTACCCCACTAGTTTTGCCCCCAGGCCTGATCCACCCACCCACTGTTAGGACAGTCCCTGGGCTATCCAGCTGTACCAACCAAGATGCCAAGCTCCTCACTCTTTTGGTCACTGGACTGGCCTGGAGCTGGGCTGTGCCTGGTGCCGGGCGAAAACCTAGTGGCCACGAAATCAGACAGATATATTTCATACATAATGCAGCACTGTTACAGCAGTTTTATGATTGATAAGTTCAAGGTGTAAACTCACATGTTAAATTACATGTAGATGCAATAGTTGAAGTGTTAGGCAAGCTGCAACTTTCAGATGAAGTGCTTTCCAGACCTAAAAAGATAAACCTAAAGTATTTAAATTATGTTTCGAGAGGTTAAAATAATATTCTCCTTATGCATGATAATGCACATATATTTGGCTCAAGATACAATAAAAAATTATTACATTTAGAATGAAACTAGGTTGAAACCATTAACCTTAATTCCATTTTGGAAGTACAGATCCCAACAATTTTTGGATTTCCAAAATATGAAACACGAAGATGGAATAAAGTTATGTATAAGTTGTAATGAAGTTGTAAACATATTTCTTAAATTTTTCTCACATGATGTAGATCTTGTGGTTTGAGAATGTTGGGTATGGCATGATACATGTACAGCTGGCTGGATCCTGTTATAGTCTAAATTTAAAGAAGAATACATCTATTAATTTGTGCATTAATTTTGCAGGTAGTAAAAGTATAATTTAATAGTTGTAATTGGGATAAAGAAACCTTATTATTGCTGAAGGAGACTTTATAATAATGTCTAGTGATTAGGGGAAAAAAACAACATTAAAAGCTATAATGTAACTGCATTAAATAAGGGCAGAATACAATCACAAACCAATTTTATGAAATGAATTTTTGATCACTTAAAAAAAATTGGGATTATTTCACCATTCCTTTAACTATTTAAATCATAATCACCACCACCTTGTATATCCATCTGCATAGACTCTTACCCAGCTGCCACTTCAGAGACCTCAGAATTTTCTGCAGGAG